TATCTTCCTGAGCAAGTACAACATTGACATCCGTCCAAGGCCTGCCATCAAGGGCCAAGCCCTGGCGGACTTTGTGACGGAATGTACCGCAAGGGCGGCCACGGACGGGGAGCCCTCGGTTACCTCGGACGACTGGTGGACCCTCTACACCGACGGCTCCTCCGCGACCAAAGCATGCGGGGGAGGGGTAGTCCTCATTACTCCCGAGGGCTTCAGAGCCTACTATGCAATCCGCTTCTCCTTCAAAGTCTCCAACAACGAGGCCGAATATGAGGCCCTCCTATGTGGCCTTCGGCTGGCTGCCAACATGAGGGCTCGGCAGATCCACATCAAATGCGACTCCAAGTTGGTCGTTGGCCAAATCTCCGAGGAATATGAGGCCAAGGAGGGAAGGATGAAACAGTATAAGGAAGCGGCCAAGGAGTTGCTTAAGGTATTTGAGGCACACTCTCTCACTCAAATACCGAGGGCTCAGAACTCCGAGGCCGACATATTATCTAAGCTCTCGGCCGACTCCCCCGAGCACATCTCCAAAATTGCCAAAATTGAGGAACTCGGCCTCTCAAGTATCCATGCAAGCCCCGTTATGAACATACAACAACGCCAAGAGGATTGGATCTCAGATATCACCGCCTTCATCTCCACAGGGCAGCTACCCGAGAATGAGGCCCGCGCTAAACTGGCAAAGCTGAGGGCTCCTAGCTACACCATCGAAGATGGAAGGCTCTACAAACGATCTTACAATGGCACGCTACTTCGGTGCCTTCATCCAGATGAAGCCGAGGTCGCAATGGAGGAAGTGCACAGTGGCACTTGCTCAGCTCACCAGGGACCCTTCTCCATGTCCCGAAGGCTCATTCTCCAGGGCTACTTCTGGCCAACCATGGCCAGAGATTGTGCTGACCTTGCCCGGAGGTGCACTGCATGTCAACATTTCCAGAAAGCCCCCGGCAGGCCAGCGGTCAACTATGCCCCCATCAGCACATCTGTCCCTTTTTCTCGATGGGGGATAGACCTTGTGGGCCCTCTGCCGAGGGGTACCTCCAACAACAGGTACATCATTGTGGCCATCGACTACTTTACCAAGTGGGTGGAGGCTGAGCCCCTCGCCAGTATCACAGAGGCGAAGTGCCGTCATTTTGTCCTCAAGAACATCCTCACAAGGTTTGGCGTCCCCCAGCAGATCATCTCCGACAATGGGACACAATTTGAGGCAGCCCCCTTCTGTGCCCTTCTGGAGGCATGGGGCATCAAACACACCTTCTCCTCCGTTGCCTACCCTCAAGGCAACGGGCAAGTAGAGAATGCCAACCGGACCTTGCTCGAGGGCCTCAAAAAGAAGCTGGAGGCCGATGGCGGTGGCTGGGTGGAAGAACTCCACAACATCCTTTGGGCCTACCGCACCACCCCTCGGTGAGCAACAGGTGAAACACCCTTCTCCCTCTGCTACGGTTTTGAAGCCAAAGCTCCTACGGAAGTCACCCTTCCCACCCGGAGGGTGATCCAATATGACCCCGAGGTCAACGACAGCAACATGGCCCTCGACCTCCACCTCATTTCGGAACGCCGGGAGCAGGCCTTCATCCGGGCAGAAAATTACTGAAGGCAAGTCAAAAGCTACATCGACGCCAAAATTCGCACCAGAGAATTCCAAGTAGGGGACTATGTCCTCCGGAGGAGGGAAGCCAGCCAACCGACCGAGGGAGGCAAAATGGCACCAAAATTCGAAGGTCCCTACATCATAGCAGCCATCATCAAACCTGGAACTTACAAGCTCAAACGTCCCAACGGGAAAGAAGTCCCTAGGCACTGGAATGTACACCACTTAGTTAAATGTTATCAATAATGTAAGAGCGGCCAAGCCCTCATAACAAGTGAATGTACTATCCTATGGCCCAAGGCCTCCTATTTCAAAGAATGAAGATACATTCAAGACACCAAGAACAAAACACTTATGAACGGCCAAGCCCTCATACCAACTACAGGCCCCAGGCCTCACCTCGAGAAGAACCCCCTCCGACACCAAGTGCCGAGGGCGGACACCATCAACACCTACAACAACAGGAGAACACCATGTGTTTTCGAACAAGACCCCTCAGTACCAAGTACCAAGGGTAGGGACTCCCGTCACCAACGACAAGGAACGCCATGTGTTTTATTTCCCTTCGGCACCCAGTGCCGAGGGTACATCCCCACCTTCAACATCAAAAAAGAAAAGATAAGAACACAAAGTGTTCCTACAGAAGACCCTTCGGCACCCAGTGCCGAGGGTACACCTCCATCATCAACATCAAAACGAAGAAAAACACCAAATGTTTCAAAGAAGACCCCTCGGCACCCAGTGCCAGGGATATGCTCTCCTATCAACTTCCAAACATCTGTTGGGAAACACCTAGTGTTTCCTCCGAGGGCCCTCCGGCACCAAACGCTCCAATCAAAACACCAAGTGTTTCATTTGAAGACCCTTCGGTACCAAGTACCGAGGGTAGACACCTCCATCAACTGCAACAAAAGAGAACACCAAGTGTTCCTACAGAAGACCCCTCGGTACCAAGTACCGGGGGCTACACATCGAAACTAACACCAAGTGTTGTTTCTAAAAGCCGTACCCCACGAGGACGCATATACCGAAGGCGCCACCATCGGTGCCGGTGGCACGTAGTGCCCCCGGCCATTTGCAACTAGTGTGCAAATGAAAACCCTTCCTTGAAATGCTTTCCGCGTCACTACCCCCAGGGTATGACATGCATGAGAAATGCCCAGGATTCGACTTTCAAAAATGGAACGCTATCCGCGTCATCACCCCAAGGGTATGACAGGCACGAGAAATGCCCAGGATTCGACTTCCAAACCGAAACGCTCCCCGCGCCACCACCCCAAGGGTGTGGCAGGCCACTGACTATGTCTAGCGCCGAGGGGACGACTTTCAAAAATGAGGCGCTTTCCGTGCCATCCCCCAAGGGGAGGCAGGTTACAGACCACCATATCTTGTGCCCAGGAAACGACCCTCGATCCCCTCGGAACTCGGAAGGTTAACCCGAGGGAGGAGAGCCATTGGTGTATTCTGATGGCCTCTTGATAGGCCCAGCCTTACCAAGAAACCAAGTTTCTTGATGCCTTCCCTTCACCACCAACCAAAAAAAAAGGGGGGTGAAGGGGAGTAGACTCGGCGAGAAATCAAAGAGTACACTCCAACAGATCACAACACGCCGAGGGCTCCCCACGGGAACACCTCCGGTAATTGAAGGCTCCTATTTCCCGAAGGATACTACTCAAACAAATAGCATCAAGAAACGGCTAAGTCCAATGCCTGGTCGCCTCCGGTCACACAAACACCGAAGGCTTCAACAATACAAAGGGACTGGACTATCCAAGGTCCACTAAACGGTACTTCAAACAAATACCGAAGGCATCTGTTATGCACTAATACCGAGGGCCCCTACCCCATTACAAGGGACACAACTGGCTAAGTCAGACTCTACAACTTTTCAAAGTGTATGCCGAGGGCACACACTCCTCATTGGCTTTCTTCACAATAACAGGATTCCACACTTTTCCTAAGTCCACACTTTCGGAAAATGACAGCAACCGGAGGTTAATATGTCACCAGACAACCGAAGGCATCTATTACAAATCATCAAAAGCCAACCGAGGGGGACTATTCCAAGATATTTGCCCCTCGGACAGACTCCTCACTGACCGAAGGTCCAACATCTACGACACACTGTGAAATTTTGCTAAGTTCCACATATTTGGCCCTCGATCAAATACTCATACAACTCAAGGGCCCCACGATCACCCGAAGGGTCCTACTCATATACCCGGAGGGCTCTACATCCGGAAGCTCAACATCACTTTACGCTTAGAAAATATTCTAAGTCCTAAATGAGTAGCCCCCGGGCATCTCGCAAGAGTGATGCAGAGTCAGAGGGCACCTATCACCCCGAATGCGACACAAGGAAGCAACACTTAGGAAAAAAATTCTAAGTCCTAAAGATTGCCCCCCGGCCCAACCAATATTACAACTAAGGGAATATGATAGCCGAAGGCTATGCGATACAACAACACTTAGAAAATTTTCTAAGTCCTACATATTTTTCCTCGGTCAACTACTCATACATCAAGAAGGGATGCCATCGCCCGAAGGCTCCCAAGGGAAAAGCTACACTTGGAAATCTTTCTGAGTCCTACATATTTCACCCTCATCTCAACTTATGAAGGGACCTAATAGCCGAAGGCTACCTATCAATCAAAGGCTACAGTACACAAGGAATCAACGCTGAGGAAAGTTGTCTAAGTCCTGAAGATTGGCCCCCCGGCCTAATCAACATTTCTGTTGGGGCTCCACAGTAGCCGAAGGCTACATGACACACTACACTTACAACAATTTTCTAAGTCCTGTACATTGGGTTCTCAACCTAATCACCACACAGCAATGGAACTACAAACATCCGAAGGCCCTATGATGTGCTACACTTAGGAAAATTTTCTAAGTCCTAATTACTGCTGAGCCCTCGGTTGTACATCCAGCAAAGGGTGCCCAACTGCCGAAGGCTACAACCGTATTCAAACACTTAGAAAATATTCTAAGTCCTAGACATACATTCAAAAATACCGAAGGCATACACTCAAGAAAAACGGAGGCATACATTCAAGAAGAAAGGAATTAGAGAAAACAAGCCATATATACGAAGCTCGAAGGCAGACATTCATCAATCGGCAAAAAGAAAGAGTAAATGTGATAGTTACAAAGATGGCCGGGGCCGAAAACATGAGAATGTGATCATTACAAGTGTGTTCAAATTACTGAGTATAAATTACAAATTAAACAACGTCATTTCCGGGGGCCGCCTCCTCCGATGGCTTCGAGGTAACCTCTGCATCGGCCTCAGGTTCATCACCCTCGGCTTCCTTCATGAGCTCTGTATCCTCTAGGTCCGGCCTCTCGACATCGGAGGGGAGAGGAACGCGGACGTCTGGCTGCAGGGGGAGCCCGTATGCCGCCGGGTCGAAGTCCTTTGGCTCAATCTTCAAGTGGCGAGCCATCCTCCGGTAGATGAGGGCTTGGGTGAAAAACTCGCCCCCATCATAGTATTGTTTACCCTTTCGGGAAACCCACTCCACACCAGGCCCATCGCACCACTCGTCAACCGAGGACTCGACGACCGAGGACAGCCATTGCTTGTGCTCCTCGGCCCGCCACCCCCCTGCCAAGAACCCCGAGATTGCGTCCCCTCGGGCTCTCTCGACGGCTTCCATCTTCGCGGCCTCGGCCTCCCTGGCAGCTCTCTCCAAAGCCTCAGCTGCGGACCTCTCAGCCTCCGCCCTGCCCCGATCTGCGGCCTCCGCCCGCAGGGTCATCTGCCGAAGGCTCTCCTCCAGCATAGCCATCTGCCGGACAGCATCAGCATTCTGGCGGATGAGCTCCCGCATCTTAGCATCCTGCTCAGACTTGCGAAGGCGCCACTCCTCTAGCCGCCGGGCCTGCTCCCCGAGGGCAATGCAGGTCTACAAAAACAAAGGAGTTAGTAGGGCCGAACATGGTTGCTTAGCTCAAAGTAAAGAAGAAAGATATAACTATCGAAGACTTACCGTGAGGGAAGACCGGAGGATCCTGTCCTCGAGGGCTTCATCTTCATCAGCCCCGAGGGCTACTCTGTCAATCTCGATGGTTATGCCTCTCAGAAGCGCCCTCGGGTCAGCCGTGCCGTTCATCACGGCCGTACCAGCCGGGAGGGAAACCATAAGGACCTCGGAAGATGGCCCCTGAACACCCGACGACACTTTCGCCACCGGCATCTCCTCATGCGCCCCGGAGGCGGGACATTCATCAACAATGATCACCGGGGGGACTTTCTTCCCGGCATCCCCGGTCTTGGGCTTTTTGCCCTCGGGATCTCTGCCCGTGCCCTTCCTCTTGGCGGCGGCAGTCGCATCAGCACTTGGGCCCACCGATGGCCCCTCCGGCTTCTTGAAAAAGTCACCGGCGGGTTTCGGGACACCAGCGTCCGTCCCCCTCGGGCCCTTGGAAGGTTTTTTCTTCTTCAGGTCCGCAAGGCCTTTGACGTTCATCATTTTCACTGGGATACCTGCAAAAATAGTATGGGGTTAAAATCGAGGGGTTACTAACCGAAGGCACAAGGAATAAAAAAAACGAACAGATAAACTATGTGCTAAGATATGAAAACCAAGGGCCCTCGTAGACTACCTCCTGCTCCCCCGAAGGCCTCAGCAAAAATGGGGTACTTCTCGTCCGCTTCCCCAATGAAGCGGTATCTCCGAAAGCCGAGGGCGTAGAGTCCCTTATCGGCAGTGTAGTCTTTGATAGAGACCTGCTTCGTGCGACCCTCCAGGATTTTGGCTATCACCAGGCCATCTTTCTCGAGAGCGGCGCTTCCAACCTTCGGATGCCGACGGAAGCGATCCCGAAGTTCCACCGGAAATGGGTTCTCAGCAACTCTGACGTAGCACCAACGCTCCTTCCAGCCCTTATTGGACGAAGGCGCCTCCGTAAATAGCTTCCACCTGGCTACCTGCTGCAGGTTGGCGAAGCCCTCGGCATTCGCGTGACCCCCTCGACAGAGGTTGAAGCTCTGGAAGAACAAGTCCAGGCTGGGGGTCACCCCTCGGTCCCTACAGAGGTTCAAAAAACCCGCCACGTAGGTGTCAGCTGGCAGGGTACCAAGCCAACAAACCTCAGGTACTCCCGGAGGAAGGGGTGCAGAGGGAACCGAAGGCCCATGGAGACCGACAGTACGTGTACTGCAATACACCCCTCGGGCGCCCGAGATAGCACGTCATCAACTCCCGGCTCGCCCACCACGGCCGAGGGCCCTACGTGTAGCTGCGTGACGTAGAGGTCCGCCCTGTCCGCCTTCGACTTTATCTCCAAGGCAGCAGTATTGAGCCAGGAATACCCCTCCGGCATATCTACGGGTTTCCCCTGATCAACAGCAACAATCTTCTTCTTGGGGGCAGCTGCCTTGGCCTTCTTCTTCCCGGGGGCCACCCGGATGGGAACTGCATTCAGCGGCTGAGAGGTACTGGCCTCACCAGCACCCCGAGGGGGAAGAACGGCCACAGTAACCTTCGCCCTCTCCTTTTCCTCTTCCTCCTCAGCAACTTGGACGGCGAGGGCCAACTCCTCATCTTCGGCGGTCCGCTCGAACTCCTCCGCCTCGGCCTCGGCCATCAGATCCTTCTGCACCTCGGTGGCGAGAGCTGCATCACCACCATCCGAGGGCTGACTGCTACTGGACTCCACGTCGGAGATGCCTTCGTCCTCCATCGAGGGCGCCCCCGAGATGTCTTGAGAATCACTCTGGGACGACATTCTAACTCTAGCTCGAGGGCTCTGGGGAACTAAGGTTTTCTAGAGAATTCTATCTCCTAACCTAAGGGCACAAGGCACAGCTAAATACTCAAATGGAGCTGAGGGCGGAAGGAGAACTGACCTCTGAAAGTTGCTGTGATCGAGGGTGATTTTCTCTCTCTAGAAAAATTCCGGCAGAGCTTCGCTAAGACAGATGGTCGCACAAGAAGAAATGGCTCTGGCTCCGGGGTATTTATAGGCGCTGGAATCCGGGCTTGGGCCCGGAAACCGGGCCTCCGGACGGGCCGTCATCAATACGCGCCGTGTTTTCACCCAACCGGTGACGCCGCCCACGGGCAGCCAACCGTCCCGCGCCACGTGTCCTCCTCCCCCAACGGCTATAAACCTGACGTTGCATATTCCAACGGCTATATTTCAACCGGCTATATTCTGGAAGCCCCCGGGTTTTCTACTTCACTCCACTTCTTCAAGGAGAGCCTTCGGGTACACTTACCCAGAGACGCCCCCGGGTTGTGCCCCACACAGCACATAACAGACGCCTTCGGGATCATTCCTTCAGAAACCCAGGGCTTCATATCAGGGCACCCCTCGGGGATTCCCCCTCAGCACTGTAAGAACCGGGTAGCCCCCAGGTAGTTGCCTCATTGACGGATAGCCTACGGCACACGGGTAATGGGAGCCCTCGGGTATCTTCATCACCAACAAATCAACAAACAGTGGACCCCCCGGTAACAACTCCACTGCTGCCCTCATCCATCAGGCCCTCGATCCCCAGATTGAGGGGCTCCCCTTCGGCACCCCCAGGACATCAACAGCAGGCCTTCGGCTAATCAACACATGAGCCCTCAGAAAAAGGAGAACCTTCGGCATTACCGTTATTCTCCATTTTTGACCAAGGTTTCACATTTTCGATTCATCGTTGGGGGAATTCGGTGCACTCTTTTTCCCTCATTAGGATTTTTCCCCCAGGGTTTTTCCTAATGAGATTTTTAACGAGGCATCCCCCCAAAATGAAACGAAAAGCGTCAGCCTTCGGCCCACAACAGCAACGCAACTACTCTACTCCTTTTCACCACTTTACAAGTGCCTCAAGGAGTGGGGGGACTGGAGAACCCCCTCGGGAAAATCATTAAATTACAAAATTAGTGAAATTCCAACAAACGACAAAGCAAGCCCTCAAGTCCCGACATGTGGGTAACTGAGGGACTGCCTTTGGCAGGGACATGCAAGCAACAAAACCAACCTCAGAAATTACAACGGAACAACGGCAGGGGACAAACACAAATTACTCCTTTTCCCTCAAGTACCTTTCGGCAAAAGGAGTGAGGGACTCCTGATAGAGTATATGGCCCGGGAACACCCGGCCCACAGACTCCTACTACTCCAGTGGAAGCCCAACAGGCACAGAAGGCCCAACAGGCCCGAATCACGGCGCCCAGAGTACCAAGCAGCCCGCAATACGCACCAGGGGTGCCTTCGGCCCCCTGGCCGAAGGCTCCAAACTATCACAGCGTGGATATTTCGAACAAACAGAGGAACTGGGAGAAAACGGCGAAAACAGTAGCCCTCGGCACTCAGGGGTCCTAGGCACTCAGAGCCCTCGGCTAGTCCACTGCAGCCGAGGGCACCTCTCCCGACATAATATCCGCCTCACATGCGTACAGATCACCGTACCCTGTACAGACGTCCCATCCAACAGCCGCATTAAATGCGGCCACATGCGGCTGCCAACGCCAACCAGTTGAGGTGACCTCTCGGCCAATAGGCGCTTGACACGTGTCCCTGTCCGGCATTTATTTCTACTATAAATAGCACCCGATTTCCCCATTTGTAACCACGACATTCATACTGAATACACTCTCTCTCTTACTTACTTGTGCTCTGACTTCTCTCTAAGTTATTCTCAGCAATAACCCCTCGGGTATATACCCCCCGGGTAGACTATCCATCAATAGTCATGGGACCAAAAGTGGAATTTTTTCTGAATAAAATAACATAATTTAAAATTTCAGTTTGTTGAGTGAGTTTTAGTTTTCAGAGGTGAAAACCAAAAGCAAAACCAAACATCTACAATTTGGTTCGGGTTTTCAAATTTTGTTTTCGATTTTTTGCATTTCGATTTGTTTTTCATGCAATTGGATTTTGTAGATTCGGTTTTGAGTTTGCGGACGCTAGGGGTGGGCATGGGACGGAACGGGACATGAATTAGACTATCTCGATCCCGAATCCGGTTTAGGATAACGGGACAGAACGGGAGGACAAGATGTTGCCCCACTGTTGTCCCTTTTAAACCGGTACCGGAACAGAACGGGACGGTTCGGGACATCCCCCAAAAAAATTGCAGCGAAAAAGATACAACTCCAAAAAGAAACTTCATGAGAAAAACTACAACACTAAAAATGCAACACAAACAAAAATTTACGATAAATGCAACACAAAAAATAGTAGATTAATAGGATAGTTGCAAGAAAAAAACCGTAACAACAACAATTAACTCCAACATACACAATACTACTAAGAAACAACAAAAATAAATAAAAAGACAAACAATATTATTAGAAGTGAAACATGTGAAGTATATGTGAGTTTCTTTTTAGTATGTAGAAGATAGTTCATACTTGATATAATTTAGACTCCTTTAGGTGTTTTACATATTAGATAACTAATACCTAATTAATATTCATTAGTATTTGAATTGATGGTAGACTCACTAACCCACAACTATATACTCCGTACAATTTGGAATTCGGGACAACGGGACGGAACGAGACATATTTTATTTGTCCCAGTCTCGTTTTGTTTTGAAACGGTTCAGGACCGGAACGGGATAAAAATAGTTTGTCCCGAATTTAATGGGACAATTTCGGAACGGAACCGGAACATTCCGGAACGGACCAACGGGACCGGGTCTTTTGCCCAGCCCTAGCGGACGCATCCCGATTTGGGATGTTTTTATTTAGACTGGAATTTTGTCTGGTTTGATTTGGTATGACCTGTTCTGGTAAATGTCTGATTTCTGTGTATTTTATAACTATCCAAATCTGGTATGGCCGAATGGAATGGTAGATGGAATGGCCGAATGGTAGGAATCGAGTGTTACAGACTACGGACTTTTAAAGAAGGCTAAAGGATCAAATAGGCTCTCGGACTAACTTAAAAAGTGCAAATCACGGTGGATTTTTTTGATGAATTTTTGTGAACATCTTCTTCATTAAGTCTAATTTACTCATACCAAATTGCAGCTAAAAATTCAATCGGGAAGACAATCAAATGATTTTTAAAAGATAATTGCGCAATTAAACAACGTAGTACATTTTAGAAAATCATTTAATTGTCTTCCCAATTGAATTTTAGACTTATAAAGAAATGTTCAAAATATTTATAAAAAAATTCCACTAAACCCATTGAACGGCCTGACAGAACTTCCACTTTTTAACTTCCTAAATACGGAGTATAATCCTTTGTTGCACGGGCACCTAAGCCGATTATTGAAGAAGGGGGTTTCCTAAGCCGATTAGATACGGAGTATTTGCTAGAGAAGACGGCGGGATTGTTTAGACCAGACAAATAAGATGGATTCCAAGAGTGGGAGTGGAAGTGGAGCGATTCCAAGGGAAAGCACAACGACAATAGAGAATCCCTTTGCTTTGAAAGTCTGTCAAGTATTTACCGGCTTTGGAATCGGCTGTGGCGTCGGCATTGGTGTTGGTCGCCCTATAAACCTTGGTTCGCCTCCCTCTCAAAATATCGTTAGGCAAAATTTTATAAAACTTCCAAGGTATGGGTTTTCAAGATTTTATGAAACCCAGAAACCGCAAATGCCAGAAAGTTTCAAGTAATTTTTGCGTCTACTCGGGGTTATTTGATTGTTTTTACTCTGTCGATGATATTGAGTAGCGTCAGAACTAGAAAAAGATTTGAAGCCCAAAGACTAAATTTCATGAGATTTAACATAGATGCTAGTAGTATTTCTTTTTAGTTTGTGCTTGCAGGTGACTATATGCAGCAAGTTTTAAAGCTGTTTAGTCTTTAACTTCTTCTTGGTGCTTTATAAATTTTTCTGTTGTTTGTTGAGCAACAACTGAAGTAGATTTTTTAAACTTATTCTGGTTTCGGTGAAAGAGTTGTGGAATTTAATCGCTAATCTCTAGTACTCTAGTTCAATACTGTTAGTCTGGGAAGTTCTCAAAGAAATTTCTCAATTTGTTGTGATGGGATTATATTTTGTTCTTTCATAGCATAAAATGTTGTTTCATTGCTTCTGTGTTTATATCTCCACAATTTATTTACTTATTAGATAACAATTAATGATCTTATTTCCTGTATCAGCTGCAATACCAATGCTAGACCAAGTTGTGGTTGCAACTAGAGGTGCCACAGATGCTTTCTCTTCCGTTGGAAGAAATGTCAATAACAATGTAAGCCAATCTTCTGTTTTTATTTGTTTCTTTGGGAATACACTTTTATCAACACAATGTTTGGACCCCCATTTGGTAAGGGTAAATTAGGTTGTAATGCCAAGCTGCTGAAATTGTTGAAGTTGCTAAAATTTCTAAATGATCAAATAATAATAATGAAATCATATATTCTTAATAGAAGATAGAAATTGAAATATGATAATTAGCTTAAAATTTCCATTTTTATTTCATTTCCGTAGCTTCAGTCAGAGAAGGAAATTCTCGTTTTTTTGTTTTGTCTTGTATGCTTATTGCATTTTATAGTTGCGGCGTTTGGGGGCAAAAAACATTGAAGCTGGCATTGGATGTGGAATAGGCTTAGGCCATGGCTTTGGAATCGGTATGTATCAGAAGATATTGATGTGCGTTTAATGCGTTTTAGACTCGACATCATTTTATATAACAAATCCTATTGAAGTTTGATATTAGTGGGAGCTGTTTATGTGATTCCTATAGTCTATCCATTGGGGCTTAGGTTGTTCATTAAGGATGTAGGAATTAACTGACTTTAAGACTCTAGCAGTGAATATATACCTCTAACTTTTCTCCATGTTAACCCTGATTGCCATTTGTAGAAGTCTTACCTAGAAAGAAGTACTAAGCTACTGCGAAATTTAAAGGAAGATACCCAGAACAAGCTATGGAACGGGAAATGACAATGAGATTTATTTTCTTGTGTTTGATTTCCCTCAGAAAATGCAAAGGAAAATGAAACAGGATTAGTGTTAATAGAAATTACACTAGCGAATATATTTCTCAGTATTTGCTGAAACTCATTTTATCTATTTATCTATTAATGAAAACTAAAAAATCTAAATATAATAATATATGGAAAAATAAACTAAATAACTAATCAATATTTGTATCCTAAGGTAAATACAAACATAAGAAAATAACTCAGCATTTAAGCCAGGATCTATAAATGTCATGTATTCGTTTATCACATAGCATTTAACCTAAACTACAACTATTCATTCCACTATTTTTAATGTTAAACGGCAAAACATTGGTCATAAATGTCAGGTCTTGCTGTTAAGCCAGGAGTGGTGCATAAGGTTCAATCATGTCTCAATGTATGTATACCTGTCCATGGCTTCAATTTTCCGGTTTTTAAATAAATGTTTTCTTTCAGCAATTCACATAATACAACCTTCTAATTCATCAGCAACTTGCGGCAAAAGCTATGATGAAGTTTGGAATGTCCTTTGATTTGCCTTCTGTTACTCAAGGCATTATTCCTAAATCTATTCAAAGTAGCAATCCTCTGGGAAATCTAATGGCATCAAAGCCAAAGGCCATAGAGAATATAAAGCCTAAAGATGGAAACAGAGGTTCTTTTGCAGGACGTGCAGGAAAAAATCCTTTAAATAATGGTGCATCATATAGCAGTCAGACAGATACACTTATCAACAATTTCTTGAAGAATCCGCTCTTGAAAGATGGAGATAATGATGAGAGTGAGCTGGTATGTGAGATGGTGAACTGAATTTATTTTATTAATTTTGTGTTGTGTAATTGTGGGGTATGAATCTTTTCTTGAACTGTAACAAGGCTCTCGTAATTTATATATGGGATGGAGGAGTTCGGTGACACTATCCACACCAGGAATATTTTCTCTATTTCTTCCTTGGAAGGTTTGAACAAGGACATCCAATGGTAGGTGTAGACACGGGTCCGGTCTGGCTCCATCTGATGGATCATTGTAACCAGAACCACCTTGAAAAATACATTAAATATTATGATTTGACCAAAACCAGGATCAAGAATGCCGATCCAGAACCAGACCATGCTATCTAAGGTTCCAATCCAATTCTATTAAATGGAGGACAATTACTGACGATTCCAACATCGAAATCGGGATTGCCATCAAAACTACAATGTAAATCATGACTTGATGGTAGCAGGAACCCAAACTGCAGATCTTAAGGACTGGAAATGTGCTACATGGACCAACCCGGACCTGGATCATGTCCACACTTGTCTGGTGTAAAACTTTGCTACTGTATGGTTTGTAACGTGAACTTAGGGATGCACCCGGGCCAGCTCAACCGGCCCGGCCCGGCCCGACCGGTACTGTTTCGAACCGACCCAGCCCGAGGCTCGACTCCGGTCTGGGTACAGTAGACCTGAACCGTATGAAAAAGGGCCGGGCTCCGGGTCTCCAAAAACTGAACCGGCCCGGCCGGTCCGGGCCTGGTCCGGGCCAATTTTTTTTTTTCAAATTCTTTGGGATGTAAATGGGTTGGGCTTGGTGTTTTGAAGGGGTTTGGGGTGGGGGGTGGAGGTAGGAAGTAATTAGGGAAAAAAAAGTTACCTGGCCCGAGCCGGACCCGGTAGGTACCCGGGCCGGTTCCGGGTCTCGACATACCAAAAAAAGCCCGCCTGGACCCGCCCCGAGGCCCGCCCCAGACCGGCCTGAGTCCATCCTTACGTGAACTTATAGTGCTCAGTAATTTCACATAATTAATTAACCCTAAATTTGGTGCCAATATTGTAATCATATTGGGGATTAATGTGTTGCTGCAGTTTGGAGTGTAATCTTTCTACTTATCATTTTTCTTTGTGGGGAAAAATCTACCTGTTAATTCTGCAAAAGTAACACTTTTTAAAATTCAGTATTTCATATTTTCAGGCTGAGCGCCTAAGGTCCGAGAACAACTTACTTCACCTGGTAAGATATCCCCTTGACCAGTTTAGTTCACAGGATGAAAAATTTAACGGGCATGTCGAATTGTTAGATGTGGAGCATGCTACTGTATTGGCTAAGTAGGATGTAGGAAATGACACCTCAGAACTGAGATGGGTATATTGTGCTCGACCATCTCAGTAGCATGGATCATGCTAGCATGCTTCATATGTTTTCGCATATCACATTTGCTCATCTATAATATATATACAGGGAAAATGGATTTGAAATCCCCAGAATTTGTGAGGTCTGAACTCAACACCCAATCTTGCTTACGTGAGATAAATATTTTTAACTTTATATCATAGGTGATCTCAGCACCATGAGTGCTGATTATTTATATCACGAATGTGAATTTCGGATGCTTAGTGCTCATTTTCAAATGTTCGGAGCATTAACTGTGCATTTCGGATTCTAAACTTACATTTATGAGAGAAAAAATCTACATCAATGGTGCTAAGATCACTTGTAGTATAAAGCACAAGATACTTATTTCATAGAATTGTTTGGAGAAATGGGTTCACACATGCCCAATTTTTGGGGTATTTGAATTGAGTCTCCCTTTATATATGACAACTCCTTCTGGCCCTAAAAAAGCTGCGTTTATAGAGAAAATAGTACTTTATGGCTTGAAAACATTGAGTTTTAAGCCTTATTGGCGATGTAAAAAGTACTTCATGGGTTTGTGTGAATGTTTTTGTTTTGAAAAATTTGAGGTTTGAAGACAACGTGTTGGTTGAGTGTTTAATGTGTGATTTGATAAAACGCTATTTTGTGAAATTAGTTGTTCAGGGTATATGTTTGGGGAAAGCAACTGAAAAAAAGAGGTAACATTACAGGAGGGAATTTGAAATGAAAATGGTGGACTGAGAGAACTTGGTTGCATTCAGGTGTTGAAGCACCAACGAGTGATTGATGAGCTGATGCAGCAAAATGAGAAACTGCGCGAGATACTGGTTGATGATTTGAAGGTACCGCTCTCCAAGCTCCCAGGCACCATCTCCAGTGGAAGCAAATCTCCATGCATTGATTGTTTTGATTGCCGTAGAAAACAACGAAGAGGACGGTGAATAAAAGCTCCAGTTTTGGCACCAATCCTTTTGGAAGGCATATATATTCATGCCTCAAAAGCCATTGAAAACCTTTCTTAGGATAGCGTGAAATTTATATGTAAGCCAAAATTTGCCATAAAATATTACATGCGGTATACGGTAATTTTCCTTGTAAATGAGAACGTAATGCCATATGAATGTGGCCTAAAAAGAAAAAGGAAATTACAATGCACATCAAGTCGACTTCCCGCCGAACGAATCTCAAACTACGGGAGGATATTCAAAGAGTAGGTAGAGTGGAATATTTGGTCAAGATTCCTTGCTTATTGATTAGTTCTAAAATGATTATGCTAAAGGAGCGAAAGCCACTCGACTGATAAGGAGAGGAGCTTTTCAGCCACTTTTAGGAATCGAATAAGCAATCACAAAGAATGGTAAGCGCTACGAACCTTTGCCCAGTTTATTACAAATTTACAATGTGCTAGTCAAAATATTACTCATAAAATGTACCATCATATTGCAATGCACATCAAAGTTACTAGAAAATTAACACGTTGAAATGCATCATTTTTACACAATATGTATTATGATTATATTGATTGTTCAGTGTTACTTAGGGGTGGACTGGGATGGGTCCGGGCTGGGACTCGGCAGGCTCCGGGTCCAAAAATTTCAGGCCTGGTACCGGGTTGCGTTGGGCTACCCGGTCGGGCTTCGGTCTGGGCCCGGGTCAGGTCGGGCTATTTTTTTTCTTTTACTTTTTTTTGAATTAATTCACAAGTGCTACAAAAAAATTAAATGTATATTTATTGAAATATTAAGTACAATTGATAATTTAAAACAATTTCAAACATTAAATACATTTGGTAAAAATCAGTTGAAATCTTCACTAGCGTCGGTTGTTGTTTCCTCTATGAAGTGGTGGTCGTGGATGATGCAAACTTCTTGAATTCTACCTTGTGCCTTCAACCAATCGTGAAAGCAAAGGAGCGTCTCCAGAGATTATATGCTCAATCTTGTTCTATAATCGGTGAGGTCGTTGCCGGTTTCGCTAAATTCTTGTTCAACGACTACTGTTGACACCGACATTGATAACACTTTCTTCGCGATCTTCGATAAAATCAGGAACATTCCTTCTTTTTCCTTCAACAACTTAAGAACGTCAAAGTCATCCCCTTCATACTCAACAGGAAACGTTACTTCATAAAAAAAAACAGGAAACGTTAGATATAAAGAAAGCTCGTGAATCGAGCTTTGTGCAACAACGGGAGTTGATTTATTTGTTTCCATAAGATTACCAAATGTAGATTTGAAAAATGATTTTCCTTAGATAAAGAAGCAGTTGGTTTCGAGAGAGGGGGTGCGTTAGCATAATGTGCATGTAACTCATTAAATAATTGATGAAATAAGTTACTAACCTCGTTCTATTGCTCTTTAGGATTTATGAGCTTCTCTTCATACATAGGTAATGGACCGAAAAATAATAGTATTAGTACTCTATACAAATTTGATAAGCATGTAGTTTGAGACAAGGATCACGAACAAAAGCAATACCATATATAGGTTGAATATATGTCAAATATTTTTTAAAAAAATTCTTTCATGAAATCACAAAAATAATGAACGTAATCGGGAAATTCAGAAAAAGCACTGGCGAGATTAACAACTTCAACAAAAAGTTGGTTTGCCGTAGATTTATAAACATAACTAAAAGTTAGAGTTGAGTTATTAAAAAAACAAAACCTCGGAAATTTTTCCATAGTGTCAATCTCAGTAGGATTTTATAATATAGTTAGCAGCTTCTCTTAAAAAGCAAGAAAATGGACTTGAAAGTTGAAACCTAAGAAGCACAACAATTAAGTTATAAGTACTATTCTAGGGAATAGACAAATCTTTTGGAAAAGCACAATAGTTCACACGCCTAACCCTCAAATATTGACGCCATTGCTTGGAAGTGATTCAAGACCTCCTCTGCTTAGGAGAGGAGAATTTGCTGTCTGGAAAGTCCGTTTCCTCAATTTCATTCGAAGCCGAGACAACGGAAAGAATATTCTTGACTCTCTTAATAAAAGACCACTCGAAGTTTGGATTGATGTTCCAGCTATCGACACAAATAATCCTCCCACATCAGCAGGTAAAGCACTGAAATCTGAAGATGATTACACTGAACCCGAGAAGCTGAGAGCAAAGGTTGACCTTCTTGTTGCAACTTACCTGTTACAAGCAATTCCCAATGACTTGTTTATGCAAATTGATAGGCTTACCACTGCTAAGGATTTGTGGGATGAAATTCATCAAATCATGCAAAGCACTGATGGAATAAAGCAAAATGATTCACTAAACTGTTTGCGCTTCTTTGTTATGGAGCAGCGGTCAGTCTATGCAATTTTGGACGCGATTTTCACTATGGGTCATCCGGAAACAGTCTCTCTGTGCTTTAGCACAGGGGTAAGACTGCGTACATCCGACCCCCCTTTACCCCAACGTAGGTGGGAGCCTTTGCGGCACTGGGGTAAATGAAAATGAAAATGAAATGCAAGGCACTGATGTTGGAATTAAGTCCAAACGAGCACACACCCTGACCACTTATGACTCCTTTGCTGCCAGACCTGATGAAGAGCTGGAGGACACCTATCAACGGTTTCTCATGGTCCTTAACGAGATGAAGAAAATCAATATCCGCAAAACCAATATGGAAGTTAACCTTCGCTTCCTGAAGTCTCTGAAGCCCGAATGGAAGAAAACAGCCAAACGAATCAGACAAAACAAAGACCTAGATGAGCTGACCATCCATAACCTCTATGACTGCCTAGGTGAATTCTCTGAGGATATTCGTGAAAAAGTCAATTCTTCAAAAGGGTAAGAACATTGTTGACACACTTGCTCTCCTTACATCTGAGAAAAAGAAGAAAGATAAGGCCCCTAAAATTACCTTTGAAGATGACTCATCCGATGAAGAGAAGAATATGTTTGATTCTGACCCGGAGATTAATGATCTAAAGAAAGAGTTGACTTTGCTAACAAACATGACGAGGAAAATAAACAAGAAGTTCACCAAATTCAGAAATCCTGCAACAAACAACAAACAAAGAACTTCTTCCTCAAACTACTCTGAAAGAGTCAGCAGACCATCTGATAAAGCTGTCAGCAGTGACTCAATGAAGTGTTTCAAATGTGGAAAGCCAGGACACTTTGCTAAAGAATGCCGATCTACCAAGAAGAAGGACTTTAATTACTATATGCAGAAGGCTCAACTTGCTAAACAAAAGGAGCAAGGAGTTTTCCTGATGGCTGAACATGATAGCTGGCTCGAAGATTCTGAAGATAGTGAGTCAGAGAATTTGGCACTGATGGCAAGAGTAACTGAATCTGGAACAGAAAGTGACGACTCTGAAGAAGAAGACAATGGTGCTACATCTGCTGAGAATGAGGTAAGTAACTTAACATCATTAATTTCTCAACAAAATGACAAGATGAAAGAGTTAATCACTTCTCTTAAAAGAGAGAAAAACAAAATAAAGGAACTTGAAGGCAGACTTGCTAATAATCAAAAAGTTCTGGAAAAACAAGTGTTGGAAGGAGCTTTTGAAATTACTCGCTTAAAAGATTCACGTGATAGAGTTTCTCAGTTAGAGTCAGAAGTAACTAAGTTTAAGCAAACTATTAGTGACTTAACTAAGGAACATGATGAGAATAAACGACAACGTTCTGAAGCTGTTATTCGCTATTGTTGAGTGTAAATCCCGTAGATCCGAAAGCCCAACACGAACTTTGGATATATCAGGAATGACACAGAATCAGAGTGTATGAACAAAATATAAAATATGAACTCACTAATACTCGAAAGCTCACTTGTATTAACTAACCAGTCTGATTACAAGGAATTTCCCGACCGGTAGGTCGGAAACAATGTTTCAATACAAGAAATAAGAGCAATGATGCTATTCTAGAGCCTGAGTATTGAAATGCTAACCCTTACAATGACTTAAAACCTTCTATTTATACTAATGGAGAGCATGGGCTGCCCTATGCTGATTGGCCGTTGTTCCACCGACTTGGTCACCCATGTTTCCACTTGCTGATGTCACAGTCTGGCATTAATTGCACCTGGCCACTTGTCGGTTGGCCGTTGCTCGATCGGGATGTTGGGCTATGCTGAAGATGCTGTCAAATTGACCCAAGTATAATATATAGTCCGAACTCCGTTCGGTATGTCTTCTTACTGGGCCAACCCTTATTTGGGCCGAATCTCGTTCGGCATGAATTCTACCTTGATTATCTTATCATAGGGTGACGGGCCCGTTGTTTGGGCCAGGTATCTTGGGCCTTCTTGATCCGGGTATTGGGCCTCTGGATCAATATCCCAACAACTATGATCTGATTAACAAAGAACGAGGTCAACTTTACTCTAAGATAAAGGAGTTAGAGGATATCTTAGCAAAAAATGGTCAAACCGAACAAACAATTCACCTTTTGAACAGTAAAATCAAGGATACTCAGTTTTACAACCCTAGAGAAGGATTAGGCTTTCGAAATCCTGAAAATTTGAAAAAGGTCGATTGCATTCAGCTTTACGACATAAGATACATGAAATTATGGTTAACCAAACTTATGAAATTCACTAGTGCTTCTGAAACTATTGAGGAAGAAGAGGAGAAAAGGAAAAATAGGGCTAAAGCTGAGATTAGTTATCATTATACTGCTCTCAATAACAGCTATGCCACTAGAGAAATTCCTTTGTCAAATGACTATCTTACCCATTCTCCTCCTGAGAATCATAACATGTCAAGTGAGGAAGAAGCCTCAACCTCAAAAGTTTCTGAACCCTACGTTCCTCCTCTAATCAAGAAATTAGCTGACCTTCACTCATCTTTTGAAGAGGAACGTAAAAAATTTAAACTTGAAAAAGAAAATCTTTTAAAGAAAATTTCTGAATTGTCTGATGGATCATCTCAAAGCTCAAAATCATGGAAAGACAAACAGTTTTGAAAATAAAAGGAACTTATTTTCTGCTCCACAAACAGGAAAAGTTTTCTCAAAATCCAATGCAGGAAGGATGACCTGGGTTCCAAAGAAGAAGTCAAGCGAGGATACAAGACCTGAGCAGACAAAGAAGATTTCTAAAATCTTTAATTTTATGGAAAAGTCTTGTAACAGATTTAGAAGTTGTTTTCGTTCTCATTCTCCATCTAGTTCCATTGTTTCTGCTTCTTTTAGTTCTCCAAAGCTTTCCTCTTCTTACTCTAGCTCTGTGAATTCTATTTCAAGTGACTGTTTTAAGCATGATCAATTTAATCCTTCTCATTTTTCAAAACATGATGTGTGTGATGTGAATGCTAATAATGATTGTGTTACTTTCTCTTCTGTGAATGGTAAATGTCTGAATTATCCTCTCAAGGTGTATTCTGTTAAACATCTCAAAAGATTGGAAAAAGAGAAAGTTTTCACTAATTCTAAAGCATCCCACTCACAATTCCAGAACTATTCAAATAAATTTCATAAAGTCAAGCAAGTCTGGGTTCCTAAAAGTGATCTAATTAAAACTGATTCAATTCTTTCTTCAC